ATTTCAGGGGTTGAGGGGTTTATGGTGAGGGTGTTGGTGGAGGGTTTTCAGCAACCACAGGCTTCAGCAGACATTGACAACAACGTACCTGGCTTTCTGCAAACGTTAACCATCCACCCAAAAAAATTGAAAAAGGGGCTGGAGGTGTTACTGGGGGGGTAGGGACGGTACTTCCCACCCAAAAACTTTGAAAAGCGGGGTGGTGGTGATAGTGTTAGGGGGTGCTTGTCACCGCTGTCTTGTCCAAGTTGCCCTCGATACTGGTAGGGTGATGGTCCTGACTGCTGGTCACACTGAGGTAGGATAGTAGGGATAGGGGGTGCGCTGGGAGCATTAACGTGGAGAAGGGTAGGGAATGTGGCCTATCCTGTCAGCACAACCACCAACTGCTGCTGCCAGCAATCACCGGGGAAGTGTCCTTGGCCTCTACAACACCCTGGGCCTTTAAAAATAAAAAATAAAAAATAAAAAAATGATGCGCTACGGCCAACCGGGGGGGAACCGGCCCGGTTCACCGGTCCGGTTCCGGTTGGGGGAGGGGCCCCCGGTCCTACCGGGTTTGCAGCCTTGCTATAAACACCATTCTCCTTTTTTGGTTCCCTTTTCAGGTTGCCAGCAGTACACATGCGGGAACGTTGTCAAGCGGTCTCATGGTCAACATGATTCGTCTTTGTTGCCTTCAGAAGAGGGTAGCCTCTAACACTATTGTATCCATCAGAGTACATCGAGATTCAAACTCATTATCTGTTTGCTACCAGTTACGTGCATGTACCATTCAGCCACGTGGGCTAGGTGCGGGCAAATATTACTATCAGTTACGTGGATGTACCATTCAGCCATGTGGGCTAGGTGCAGGCAAACATTACTATCAGTTACGTGCATCACTGGTAATGTGTTCCATTTCCACTCTATGTTTGCCATTCTCCATTCAATTCCCCCTTCACCCCCCCCCTCCCCCTGCCCCCTGTCCGTTCAAGATTTCAAATGTGGCTGAGTGTGTCATTACTCTCATGTCTTCGGGGCTCCATCCTTCTACCTTCTCGTATTAGTGGGCTTGATTCATCTACAGGGCCTTTTGTAAGGCTTGCTGCACTTAGGCTAGGCCCTTTCCTGTTTGGGGTACTGCACTTGATCCGGCTACTGATGACAGAGAAGATGGGACTTGAGCACGAGCAGTTGTATTGCTTGCCTCATTTCAGCTAGTTCTTACTGTTGCGGTGTTGCCCTTGACCCACCTCCTGATGAGCAGGGAAAACCCAAGGACCGAATGGCTGGAGGCGCCGAGGAGTTTAATGCTTTCTTCTACTCGCTTGTGTCGAATGATACGCAGGTGTGTGTGGCGATATATGAGGATACAACATGGATGCCATGAGTAATTATCCTTCTGCAATTTCCCTCCCTTCCACCTTTTTCGTTTTGCAATCGTTTTTTTTTTCGCGTTTTTACAAATGTCCTCTTTTCTTTTCTGTTCTAAAGGTCATATGGTTGTAACGGGCACATTGCAGGCTGAATGTAATCAGGAATTCGTGATCTGTTCGTGACAGTTCCGTCTGTGAACCATTCATCCACAGCGAAGGTACTCCCTTCTTGCCTCTTCAGTTTTGCCCGTTCGTGCTGAACTGTAATCATACACAGAATCGCGCAGTCATGAACTGTCCCGCAACTCTTACCTGTTTTAGGTGTGCTGGTGCATCTCTCACTGAAGGACAAACTGCGCAGGAGTGTGCACATTCCTACAACTCGTACCTGTTATACGTGTGCTGCTGCATCTCTTACTGAAGGACAAAACTGCACAGGGTTGTGCACACTGTCTCTGAGGACATGCGTACACTAGAACTTTCTCATCTTCTCTCTGGACGCAATTGTGGTTAGATGCATTCATAACTGGCTGTGAAAGGGGTCAAATACATCCAGGAAAGTTGTGGTGTGAGAATTGCCTATGTGTTCTCTAATAGCATGCCTCAGTCTCTAACTGCCTCTGAGTGTGCACAAAGAACTGGAAATGATTGGAACTGGTTGCAGACGGTTGCGGACGGGATAGAAAATGACTGTAAAAATTGGCGCTGAATGGATGCTGAAAGATGGTGACAAAGGGGGTTAAGTGAGGGTGTCTCAGGTTTGCCAATCGCTATTAATAAATTAAATAAATGCAAGTAACGATGTGTGTAAATGGTTAAAGACCTCATCGTTTCCCCGGCCTCTGGATATCCTGAGTGGACACTCAGGGGGGACGAGGAAGACTGGGAGTGGGTGGGTAGGAATGGTGCCCGAGAACTACGACAACGAGGACGGCGTCCAGCGTCCACGGCCTACAGGAGTCGGGACAAGTGGAGAAGTGTCATGCCGCCAGCGCTTCCCACACTGCCCCCAGGGACTGTATAAGTCACTGCCGTCATACCGGTCGCTGCAGGTTGCGTGCTGCTTTCACGTGCTGCACCTTCGGGAGTTTGCCCGGCTGCAGCTGTCATCACGGACGCAAACCTGCACGCAGCCACACAGCCACTGTCACTCAAGGTTTACAGAGAAAGATGGAGAGGGCAGGGATGGTGAGGAAGAATGTAGGCAGTTGTGAGAAGTAAAGCCCAACAGAGACGTTCATACAGGTAAGTGGGACATATTCTGGTTTCTGCCTGGACCTCGACCTCTAGCGCAACTCAAAAGTGAGCCAGATGTGCATCTCCGTTTCCCTATAGCCATTTCTTATACACGAATAGAACGCACGGTCATTATCGCTGCGTGTGGGGCAACTGTCAGTCTAGATACAGTGATAATGACCATGCATTCTATTCAGGTGAAGATGGTAGTTTATATATCCACCGAGCCAACTTCGTCATTTCACTGCAGCCATCTCAAATGTGCAAATTAGGCCATTCCAAAACAGGGTAGCAACTCTCAAGTGGCTGTTCTCAACGGTTAATCAATTTTGAAATTTTAATTCTAACTTCCTCCTATCCAACACACGTGACAATTTTCTCCTTCTCTTTTCCTTTCCGCATGTTCGCTGATTTGTATTTTAAAAAGGAGTTTTGTTTGCGGTTGATGAGATGCCGCAATGTTGCAAAATCTGCAACACTTATTTCAACAACTGACTGGTTGCATTAGCTATGGCTTCCTCCCCTAGAGACCAGTGACTGCGACCATTTTTGACCTTTTCTCTCCGGGGGAGGAAGCCACCCCTGTACTAGCCCGTTGTGATTTTCTTATCGGGGTTGGAGGCGCACCTGGGCCAAAAACTGGGACAGGGGTGGCCTTGACTTTGGCAGCGAACGTTGCTGCCTTGCCTTATGCTAGTGGGACAGCATTGGGCCCAACCAGGTGTTGGTTTCGTGCAGGACAGTCAGTGTCACTCGAGAACGTTTGATGCCTTAGGAAATTATAGATAAATGAATTAATTAATCAATCAATTAATCAATCAGTTGTCTAGCTAATTAGTTAGATTACGAGCTAAGCTAGTTGAGCTATTAGCTAATCAATTAATTGATTAATTACAAACCAGTTATGATGGATTGATCATGGGGACTAATTGTTAAAGACCAATCATGGAAGTGGTCGATCAGTCATCTTCATATTAATCGATGACGTGCATGAAACCTGCTGTCCATTTTAATATCCCGCTCTCGTTCTTCTCTCCTCTCGTATGCCATAGTGCTAGTACAAGTACACAGTCAGCCCACACATTGAAGTCTACAATGTGCTGCCATTCAAATATAAGTAAAATGTCAGCCAACGTAGTACGACCTGGTCCGCATAGTACCAAATGCCACACGTAGTACCACCTACCCAACAAGGTGCCACCCACACTCGTTGCACCATCCAGCGCACAAAGTACAACCTATACCTGTCTCAGACAATACCCCACAGCCAGATCACCCAGTCCAGATGGTACTACCCACCCCTAATAGTACCACCCTCAGTACAAAGTACCACTTATCGGTCCTGCACCGCGCTCTACTTCCTTCCACTTTGTAATGGTCTTTTTTTTTTTGTTTTTGCCCCTCTGTGTGTAGAGGGCTTGGACCTGTTCTCTTTTAGGGGTTCTCTTATTCCTGTCGGTGCCGGCTTTGTTCCCACAGCCCACCACGCATACGATCCCCCAGCCCCACATAATACCATGAAGCCTGGATAGTACCGGTACCCCACATAGTTCCACCGAGCCCACTAGCACCATCCACACGACATAGTATAACCCACCCTGCATAGTACTACCTCCTCCACCGTGCCCTGCATCCTGACCACCCATTGTACGTGATACCACACAGTGTACGTGATACCACACAGTGTACATTGCAATCAGACTCAACTCTGGACTTGCTCACAACATGCACACTTGAGAACCGATGGCAAGACTGAACTCTTTCAACTCAAAAAAACAACAATGAACTTGTCTTAAACTCAATCTTAACAGCTGCACAACTTGCGGCTATGGCCGCCGAACACGGTCTCTACCACCAGCCTCGCTCT